GCTGTTCCGACAGCATTTACCGCTTGGGTTATTTCTTCCCAGAGCATTTGTTTCTTTTTGTTGGTCACAGCATTCGTTAACTTGGACTGGATTAAGTCCAGATTTTTTTTGACATTATCGGTGATGATTTCAATCTCATAAACTGAAAAATTCTGTATTCTTTCTCTATCTTTCGTTTGGTTTCCATTTCCATGTGCTCTCACTTTCCGCCATTTTTTCCCTCCAATATTTTTTTGTTCGCGCGTAGCCGTGTAGCTCCTAATAACCGGTTTGACTGTTTTAATCTCAGCTTAATCGTGGGATAGTTAATCGAGGGATGAATCGGCTTTCAGGAACGTTATTTTAAACCTAGATTAGCTATCCTTGGGATAAGAAATTTAATCGTCGATTAACCTCTAATCGAGGGATAATTTAATCGTCGAGTAACCTCTAATCGAGGGATAATTTAATCGGTTTTCGAACAACCGGGGCCTGGTGGCGGCAACTGAGGAAGCTGCAAATCCAGCTGATCAACCATCCTCTACCACCAAGATGGATTAGCTTGGTCACCAAGATGGTGTAGTCAATATGATCAAATGCTTTACTAATAAAAGTCTAGAAAGCACACACGGAGAAACTTGCCAGGACAGTCCATGAACGACAGCGAATTGTGCAGCATATCAAATAGGCAGCAGGTTATAGAAGTACCTTTAAGGCTGCCGAACTGTTGAGGATCAATCACAGGCGGCCCAAGCTCTCTTTAAGAACCGCACAAGGAACACAATTTGCATATCGATTCATAAGGATTTATATGGGATTTTCTGCAAGATATCCATGGAGATAGTTAAAAGTGAAAATATTAAATAAAAATGGCTTACCTTATTCTATACGTGTGTTTTTTTTTGCTCCTGGTGGCGTTATTTTACCGATTTAACGTGATTTAAGCGGTTTTTTTAAGAAAACCAGGATTAAAAAAAAAACCACAATAGTGCTCCGTCTTAAAACTTATCTACGCTGTATCGGTCTTGCCTCTATATTTATATTCGTTACTTTGGGCCGATTGGATCACTGCTGATCCAACGTACAAGAGTAGGATTATCGTCCACGGTTGCTTGCTGAACATTTCACAGTTAGATAAGAGTCCTTCCACCGTTCTGGAAACGCGCCAGATGACACTGAGCAATTGAAGATCGTAGTTACTGCTGGTTCAGCAAGCTCGGGTGCAAATTCTTTGAGGAGGCGCTCAGGAATGCCATCCGGCCCTGAGGCTTTGCAAGCACTAAGACCAAGTAGCTTACGACATACAGATGAAGTGGTAATAGTTGGTGGTTGGTCCAGCCATGGTAAGAAGGAAGGAAGTGTGGCGGTGTCGAGTGTATGAATGTCAGATGTAACAGATATGAAATAACTATTCAGGCGAGTGGCAAGGGTTTTATCCAAGATAATGTTGCCATGTTCGTCAGGATAGCTTAACTCGGAACCGGAAGAAGATTTGCCAGAAAGCTTGTTCACCAGGCTCCACCAGCCACGAGGGTCTGAGGTTTTGACACTCATCACCTTGCGGGTGAAGAATTCCTTCTTGCGCTTACAGATTGCCATGCGCACTTTATTCCTGAGGAGTCGCCATCTATCGTTAGACCCAGAATGATTAAATTCGGCAGACATCCAGGGTTTGTCAGTTGGATGTATTTTGACACTTNGTCCCGGTCGGACCAATACTCAAGGTCTTAAAATAATTGAGAAGAATATGCTACCTTTCTATAACATCAAGAAATGGTTTAGATCTTCTAGTCTTCTCGGATAGGGACGAATCAATGGAGGTCCTGTCTCCTGCAGGGTTAGGGGTACGAGACGTTAATTTCCCACGCACGAG